GTGACACACACACACTATACTGGTCTGTCTGTACTGGAAGTGACACACACACACACACACACCATACTGGTCTGCAAGCTGTATACAATATATGATGTAACTATTTCTGTTGTTTATTTAGAGCAAAAGGCCCAGAGAGGTTGACTTACATGTAAGATTGGTGAGACTGTATGCTGTAAGAGGTATTTTACTACTGATTGATTATATTCCTTTTAAGATTATATTCCTTTTTTTTATTTCCTCTCAAGATCTCATTAGTAATTCTCCTTTGTGTCTACCATACAATTTTTGTAATGTTGATTTTGAGAATTTGTTATTGGATCAACTTATATTCCCCCAATTTTTTCTTTTATTCTCATCAATTGTTGGCTTGATATTGTATTGATGTTGTAAGGAGAAATTCTTTGTCTTTTTGCAGGACGGCTTGATGAGGCTTTTACTCATTGTGTGACAGTTTTAAAAACAAAAGCCTTCCAAGACAGTCTACCATGGATTGCTTGTTGTGTGGAAATGTTTGAGGTGAGACTCCAGAGCATGACAGCTTGCAGTTGAGAATTCCTCTACACATGACAGAATTATATCATCATTAAACCTGTTCTTTGCTTTGTTCATTTATAGAAATACCTTGCATCTCTAGAAAAGCACTGTAAGTATTCAATACTTGATTTTTCAAGAAATGCTTCTGTTTCTGAAGAAGGAAAAAGCTATGTTACAACTGGCAGTGTTATAAATAATTTGTGATAACTTTGTATACACTTATGTAGACTGGAAATTAACCAAGTCCTTTATATTGTTAGGGAGACATTGTTTGTAAAGTTTACATTTTATGATAAATTTATTCAAATTTCTCTTTCCTTGGTACTCCTGCAGTATTGGAAGATGAGGCAGTCAGTGCTGGTAACAGCATGCTTGATGTTCATGCCTACCTTCTGATTGCTCTTTGTCAGTTTTTGGAACTTAACCTCCATGAATGTAGCACTCGTGAAGTTATCAATGTTCTCTTCAGGTAGGCTTTAGGACATACATGTAATAAACTTAGAAACCAGTTAAGTGTTACTGAACAGTAAGGATGATTGTCCAGAATGAAAACTGACAGTGTGAAATGAGTTGTGGCTTTATTGAAGGGGGAGAAGGGAAGAAAGCCTACAGTGACTTTTTATATACTGCAAGATTCTCCTTCCAAATTGTCTTGTATTTCCTGGTGAAAGATTGGGAGTACATGTTGCATCAGACGTCATGTACACTGTAGGATTTCTGCATTCAGTTTCAATTTTGTATTTTTTCACTTTGATGAAGTCTCCTTAGCCTTCCATCCATAAAGACTTGTGAACACCTATGTTCACAAGTTGACATTGATGATTGCAAACAAATAAATGGTAGACATTGTCATAAACAAAACAAGGCTGGTGAAATTTCTTGACACCTGTTAAACCAAACAAGGCATTGTGTGCTTTATTTAAACATTATTAAGCTGATGCAGCATTCATTAAAAATGATGAAAATTAATATCTTTATATTATTTAATAACTTTATTAGGTTGGATCACTGTTTGTTTATGGCTGATGGACGTAAAATCCGCCAGTCACCAAGACGATCCACATCTGGTGGACCAACTGAGTGGGAAGTGATCCTAGCAGAGATGAAAGCTCAGCTTTACATGTACTGCGGCACTTTGTTAATTCGACTTGCCAAAGAGGTATTTCAAGCATCTTCCAAAAGCGCTTTTGAAGTCAGCGGAAGTTAATGATGGAGATGATCTGATAATTTTCCTGTGGACCGACATGTGATGTTTCCTAGCTGTGGCCATCATGAAGATTCATGGCACGCAAAATTGTTCACATGATTGACCGTAACCCTATGCAATTTTTACATCTACATAATTTTGATCACTCTAACTTACGTATAATCTCTATTGCTTTAAATTAATTTTGTTTCCAAGTGATTGCAGAAACAAATGAAGCTTAGCATAGTTATAAAGGTTTTGGAATAAAGCTGTATTTCTTAGATTGAACTTACTGCTGTCTAAAAGTGTATTAAAATTGACATTTACCAATAGTAGCCTTTTATAATTATGTACATATTCGTGTACAAAATGTTGAACAGTAGTCTTAAAATGCTTGACAGAAGTTGGTTTTTACAAGGATTAATTTTTTTTGTTTTCTACTTGTAGACAAATATTTATTGCTTCAGGTGTCTATTAAGTGTCATTATAGAATAAGAGTGTTTTTTCAGATTTATATGGTGAGAATCTGATCATTTTTCTTCCTTTTTTTCTACAGAAATTTGTAACATGGCCTAGAGGGCTGAGATTTGCATGTGCCTGTTACTTGGCAAGTGTCAGTATTCCACCGCCTGAGACAAAAACACCATGGGTTGCTAGAGCTCCTAAAAACAAAGACCCTCTCAAGTGGTACATCATGGCTTGCTCACGGCTCAGTCAAACTGGTTAAGTGTTTTTCAGACTCTAGTTTCATATCTGTTTTATATCCTATTGTACCCTTTAACTACAGTTACCATTGCATAGCTTGAAATGAGTACATATGATGAGGGGGTTGGAAACAACCATGTCTGGGAGAGGTATAATGAAATTCTGTTGATAGGTTTTAGCAAAGGATTATGCCAATCTTCCATTGAAAGTATTTTTCAATCACAGGACATTTCCTTATGGCCACAAGAGACAAGCTTGGTCAAGACTGGTTGGAAATGTGTTACACAGACTGCTGTTCAAGGCAAGGGAAACATGACATCCTCAGTACAATTTACAGGGATGTGAGAGATTTAAATAAAGTAAGCATTGCACTGTAAATAACAGAGTCATTGTGTTAAGATATGTTCTATTCAGTTAGACTGGCAGGTTTAGATACACATACATTTGGGAAATGTTGATGAATAGCGCAAAAAAGCTGTAAGCTTATCAAAATGTTTAGGCCTTTGAGGTAGTTGTGAGCAACATACATGTACATTAGTACAAGAGAAGTGCAGATACATGAAAACAACTGCATTTTATAGTGCCACATGATTATCGAAATAGTTTTGGTATTAAGTCAAAGTTGTGTTCAACAAAGTTTGGAGATTCTGTTATCTTTTAACATTTAAGAGAAGCTCGCCCTGTGAAACCTCCTGTAGTGGAGTCTAAAGAAAAAATTTGTCCCCCAAAAAAAAAGAGTCAAGGATACCGGTACTCTTTCTGGGACTAAGACAGTTACATGTAAGAGTTCGTTTTCTGCTAGTGCTGATAGAGATAAGACTGAATTAAGGAATTTGTGGACTTGGAATACACATGTAACTTTGCTGTTTTGTTCATTCTGTAGTCTTTCTTGGCTTTCGATGAACACTTCTGTGAGAATGAGCTGACAATACCTGAAGTTGATCAATTGGTCAGTTGGGATGAAGGTAAAGTGCAGACTGTTTCATTGATAGTGATTAAAGGTCATGTCATTCTGTTGTTAGAATAGTAGAAAGTTTTGTAGATTAGAGATAAATTATGAATTTTTCACAACTGTGGCACAAATAATTCTTAATCTTCCTTAGAGTTTTACCATTAGGAGTTGTAATATAATCTCATGTGTCTTGACTTGTAGTGGCAGTTAGGGAGAATCCTCGCAGCCTAGAAAAGATCACATGGATAGGATTACACTGGTATCAATACAACAAGGAAATGAGGCCTGGAGGTTGGATGAAGCTCCTTTAAACATGACTGTTTTCTTAATCATGTTTGTTCTCAGAATTCTTTCTGATTAAACTTTGATTTTCATCTCTCAGTGGGTACTATGGTGAAGGACATTTTTCCAGAGCTGAGACTTGATGTTCTAAGCATTCAGAAACAGATTGCTCCTAACATGTTATGCTTGAGGGACCTGGAGGTAATACAGAGAGTGTTTACATTGTAACACATGCATTTGTAGCTAATTTTATAAGCATTTGGATGTGTTCCTTTGAGTTTTCAATTGTGACTATAAGGTTTTAAAAAAGAACTTGCTGTCAGCCTATTTCACAAGGTAGACTGTAACGTTTTGCTAGCTATTTCTTTCATTAACCATACATGTACTTGAAGATGTAGGCAAGAAGATGATACAACTTTAAAAGTAAACTGGTTTCTCTTCACTATCATCTAACCATTTGAAACCTTTTATTTGACAAATACCCTAAAACAACTGTTTATGTACTTCTAGGCATTTGTTTATGCAATTGTAAGGACTTCAGCAGCTAGAGTTTTGGAGGACAAAGACATTGTTTATGAGGATTATGAGCCTCAAATTCTACCTCAGCCACTTTGCAATACTCTAAGCTTACCTGTGCAACAGGAGTGGTGGACATGTGCTTATAATCTCTACACTGGAAAATATAGGTACAAATTTGTTCAAGTTGAGGGCTGTGATGAAACTGTTTTCATACCTGGTGTATGTTTATCCAGTTGTGGCAAATTTATTGGCTTTAAAGCTTATTCTTATAATTCAGGTAAAATGGAATACTAACAGGTTCTTTGTAACAGTATGGGGTTGGTTTGACCCCCCTCTTAATTTGCCCTGCTCTTCCAGGAGTTGAAACACAGACCCCTGAATGTGCCAGCTTACAAAGGGTAACAATGAAAAAAGCATCCTATTCAGGGGTTGAGGAAATTCTTCTGGTTTTTGTGCATTGATATTATTTTGGCAAGCAAGAGCAAGACAAGCTACTTGTCACCAATTATTAAAGAAATAACTTTTGCTACTTATAGTACAGGGTTCATTTTTGTAATAAAGCTTTTTTTCCTTGCCAAAAGTAACCTATGAATGGTTAAAAAAAGGTGGAAAGGTTTAAGAATAAAACATATCCCTGTGATTTTCTATTGATTCAAATATAAACCTATTAAGCACACTTAATTTGTTATGTAGTGTTAAAGATTCTAATAGAACTTGCCACACTGTTCAGTGTGGCATGGAGAAAATACGAGCTGTGGATGAGAGACATGGTCTGCAAGTTCAACTGCTGATCTACCTTGCCAAAGCCTTTGGATCCAAGGTTGGTGTAAAGGAAGTAATATCATTTCTTTTTGTGTTTTTTCCTTATTCTGAGGTCAACTAAAAACAACATTTAGCTCACAAGAATCACATTGACCAGGTGACAAAATACAAATTTACTAAGTAGAGCAACAGCTGGCTATTTGTATTTTAGAACTTTGTAAATTACCACTTTCTGTAAGGTAGCTAATGAAATGTCAATGTACTCAATGTTGTGTCACGTTAAGGAAAAGATGTGTTTGTTTAGTTTACAAGACGTTATATATCTGTTGTGGTTCAATTTTATCCTTAGTTCAAATTTTATTTTCCTTTGTTTCAAAATCATTATCATACATTACAATACTCAAAAACAAAAGAAAAGATAATTTGAACCAAGGATAAAATTGAACCACAACAGATCCATTGTGGTGTTTCAGGCAACGTATCTGAAGGGAAGTGTCCCAAATCCATGGTTCTATGAGGAACATTGGAAGGTCTGTAATTTTACATTGTACTTCTGATCAGTAAACTATATAGTGATTACAATGCAGTATTGCAAGTCTCTTAAAATGTCTCTCTTTTCTTTGACTGAAGTTTTTTTTAAGACTTAAATTACAGATCAGTAGCTATGAAATTTTAGAAACTTGAATTGTTTACTTTTCCTTAACAAACTAACTTAATGTGCTGCTTGATTTCTTTATTTCATTGTTTCAGAGTATGGAAAAATGGAGTTTACACTACTTCAGACAAGCAGCCAAAATCTTGGAAATGCATGAAAAGTGAGTTACATTACTTATGGCCATCATTTCAAAATCCTTTTACTATGTATAAAACCCCCCTACTATTTTTCTACTGTTATCTTCCTGTAAGCTCCCCTCATCTTTTTCTGGACATTTTACTACTTCTTGCGAGATTCTATTTATGGGCACATCAAGTCAATGCTACCTGAACCCTAAATTCTAAACAAAATTTTCATTTGTCATTTACAACCTTTGGCAGTCTTTTCTATCACCATTCATGCTTGTTTATTCTTTGTCTCATGTCTCTTCTCTAATCATTTTTTATGCTGTGTCATTCTGCGATTCTGTTGTTTCCTTCAAATTAAAAGTTACTTCATAAGTCACACGAAACAATTTCAAATTGGGTTATGTTCCTCAAATGAACTTCAAAGTGCTTGACTGGTCTCCCACTGGGCAGGGAGACTGATTAGTTGATAACTCACTGATTGCTTGCCTGACTGACTTGTGATTGATTGATGCTTCCTTGTTTTCCACAGGAACGAGTCTATACCGTACTGCGAGAATCCCTTATTTCCTCATGTATTTGATGAACTACAGGTGAGTGGAATGAAATAGTTTATTCTCTGTTGCTTGATTATCTCACAACTTAAAGTATCTGTCGCCATATCCACAGGAAAATGATTTGAAAACGCAGTTTCAGTCTGTCCGATTGGCAATAGGAGGTGGCTTATTGAAGGAAGGAAAGATCTTTGAAGCCATGGAACTCTTTGAAATGGTCAAAACACCTCCAGGATTGTACAATCTTGCACAGGTGAGGGAGAAAGGAGTAATCATGTTCTGTGTTTGAATTTATATGACTAGTTGAAGTGCTAGCAATGTCTCTCAGGAACTTCACCAGACTGGCCTTGATAGGATCATCCATGTTGACTTGCACTTCTGAATTCTTTTCAAATTACTTTATTAGGAATTTACGATGCCCAAATGGTAAAATAGGATAAGGTAATTAAAAATATAGCATAGCGTAAGATGGAAATCCTGGCTTGCATGCCAATATTTCTAAGGGTAGTCTTTGGATTGTTACTAACTACAAAGCCATTTTTTTGATTTTTTTATTTTATAGGGTTACAAATACCTTGCACATGTTGAGCAATGTGCAGCAACTGAGGAGTCAGAGGCAGAAACTACTTTGCCATCCCAGTATTACCAAAATCTGCGGAAGGCGCGAGAATTACTTCAGTCTTATCTCAAGATAGCTAACCCCTCTGATGTAAGTATGAACCTATCATGACGCTATTTAGCTTGCAGAGCAGGCGTCATTTTGGCGAGCGAGTGCTCATTATTTTCTTAATGAAAATTATGGCCGCCCTCTTTGATTTTAATGACAGTGGAAGGCTGGGAAGAGAAAGAAATTTGTACCAAGGGGGCGGTCAACGGTCAATAATAAGGAGAGGGATGTGGGTAGGGGAGTGGAGATTATCCATGTCACAGATCATTGTTATTTTGCAAACTCTGTTCGCCCACGAACGGAGTTCTTGATTGGTACTGTTAAGCTCCAGACATCAACCACTCGCCCTTCTCCCGCCCCCTACCCTCGCCGTCCGGTCTAACTCCAAATCAAACATGGCCAGTCAGATAAAAACGTTAGCTCGCCCAAATAAGACGCCTGCAGTGCAGGCTAGAATATATTTTGTTTCGACTGAAATGTGCACATCCATGTACCAGTGTCTTATGGAGAAACTGTTGATTTAGTTGTCCACCTTCGTCTCTTTCTTTGTTTGTCTTTGTTTGAGTCTTTGTTTGCGATAGTATGACATAAAGAAAGATGTTTTCCGTCTTTTCATGAGTTTGGAGCTGGGAAAAAAAATGATTTCCAGTCAGGAATTCGGATTCCAAGCATCGATTCTTTGCCATATTTACTCTAATTCTTATCTGTTTTACTTGATATGGTATAAATGGTGACATGTTGTCAAGTAAGGGATGTCTCACTTGATGATGAGTTGACAACTCAGATAGGATGTTCTCCACAGACCCTCTGTAATGTATTTCCTCAAACAGAGCTTACGTTCAGAACAAGATCAAAGTAAGGAATATTGTTGTTACAACCCGGCACTCGTTGTAAAATGCTAACATTGATATTCTCTTTTCTTAGATTGGTCGAAAGGCTGTCGTGGATGAGCTTACAGAGATAGAGAACTTGATTAGAACTGGAGTTCTACAGTCCAAGCCAGCATCAGGTAGTAAGGATTGTTCTGTGTGAATACTAGAGCCTCAATTCTTCATTAGAATCCCACGTATAGTGACCAGAACAGAGGTTTTCACAGATTTGTATGGTATTAAATGTCTTTCGAAAAATGCTAGCCGCTAGTAACGAGGAAAGCTACAATCTAGGACGTTTATGGGAAAGTATTGAACCTAACACAGTAGGACAGCCTTAAAACCAACATCAAAAAAGAGCCCAGATTAATTTTCTCTTTCTCTTTTTAGGCCAACGTCTAGACAGTCATCACAGTTCGTCTTATCCAGGAAGCCGGCGCAGCTCAACTAATGCGTCAGAGGTACAGGAATCCGATGACAATTTCTGGTTGGAACAGGTTAGAGTTCCATTTGTTTATGAGGTTGAAATTGATCGATTCATTCATTTTTCTTCTGAATGTCCTCAAGGCAGAAAAGAATATTTTCTCAGTAACGAAGAGAACTTATCATGGCAGAACTGAACAGTGAGTTTTCGTGAACCAGTCCTACTAAATTTTAACAACACACAACGACTTCTTCCTTGATTCCGCTGTGGTTTTCAAATCGTAAGTTACAGTCATGTAAAACAGTTCTCTTAGAAATTTCCTGGGCGATAATACTACACGATCAACTGTATAAAATGTAGATTTTTCTGGTTTTCAGGCTGTGGGTTATTTGTAGCACTTCACTTATTTCAAAATGATGTAATACTTTTCTTTTTTGATTAAAAGGAAGAATGTTTTCTCCTCAATATTTTTAGCCACATGACGCCAGCACAAAAGATCTGATTGCTAAATTGAGTGAAGTGACTCTTAATAATGGCTACCTGCAAGAACAAATGGCCATTAGAGATGAAGCCATGAACAGCATGTCTGAGCAAATACAACATTTACAGGTTAGCGCAAAAAGCTTTCACGTTATTGAGTTTGTAGTTGATAATATTTTTAATGCACTACCTTCGTCAAGCTCTATGAAAATCAAATGAACAAATCTTGTTTCCCTTTAGAAACAAATAAGCATGTTACAGGCGTCAAGTTATGGATATCTCTCATTTCCTGATGCCACTTCACTTTATCCGAGTCCAAAAGATCAGAGTAGACCTATGTTCGAATCCACTCCGGCTGGTACAAAGCAGATGTCTCTATCAGAAGGCGGAAAACCTCTGACGTCGCCAAGGATCAAGGGATCATTGAAGATTGATTCAAGTTTCTTTGCCGGTTTAAGCGCAAGCAACAGCCCAGAAAAACGAGTAGAGCAGGTTGAGGAGCTCGTGACATCACCTGTGTCGCCTGGAAGGCCAAGACACGATTCTTCCACTTCATATACTGAAGATGTTCATTTCGAACCACTCATACCCCTCCCTGAACGAGTTGAAGTACAAACTGGAGAGGAGGATGAAGAGGTCATGTTCAGTAGCAGAGCTAAGCTGTATCGCTATGACAAAGATGTATCTGCTTGGAAAGAGCGCGGTATTGGCATATTAAAGATTCTTTATAACTCAGAGAAGGGACGTAGTCGAATATTGATGAGACGCGAGGCAATCCATAAGATTTGTGCCAATCACTTTATTACAGATGATATGAAGTTGACAGAAAAGAAAGGCACAACCAATGCATGGATTTGGAACACTTTTGCTGATTATTCAGAGGAGATTGGAAAACCAGAACAATTGGCAGTGAGGTTCAAAACCCAAGATGAGTTTCTATTGTTCAAGGAAAAGTTTGAGCACTGTCAAAACTTACCAAAGAAAGATACCTCTAACGTACATAAAACGGCACAATCTGCAAACAAGATTTCCGACTTCATGACTAAATTGGCTCCAAAACCTGGCTGTTGGTCATGCTCTGTGTGTTGGATCTCCAATGAGGAACGTACATGTGTGTGCATGGCCTGTGGAGCTGCTAAGTTGTCAGAGGGAAATGCATCTGTCTCCCCTGAGGCTTCCAAGTCTGGTTTCCAATTGGTTTCGCCAATTGGTTTACAAGGAAAACCGTCACCTGACGGTCCATTTACAGTTAGAAATGTCAAGACAGGGACGGCATTTACCGCTGCAAATAGTGCTCTTGGAACATCGGATGGAACGTCAAACAGCTTCCCTTTTAGTTTTGCACTTGGGAAAGATGGTCAAAAAACTATTGATACCGGTGCGACTGAGTCGCAAGTTGAATTTGGAGAGAGCGATGTGCAAACGCTACATACAGCCTCGAGCAATTTGCCATTCAGGTTTTTACTCAGAGAAGGTGTTACTAGAATGGAGAACTCAAGTTCAAGTGGTTCCCCTTTTGCGTTTGGTACATCATCAGCAGGAATAGCTGGTAACACGGCATCTGGTTCCGATAAAGGTGCATTTACAGTGCCAGCAGGGACAAAGCCTACAACGGCTCAATCATTTGTGTTGGCGCCCTTTGGAGTCCCTGCTAACGCTGACAAATCAAACTCCCCCGCCTTCACTTTTGGTTCGTCAAGCATGACTGGATCATCACTTCCTTCCTTGACGACAGAGAAAGCTGCCTTTGAAAACACCGTATCATTTGGCTCCTTTAATACTGGGAGGTCCCCAACTTTTGATCCAGATTTATCTGCATCCGATACACGGACAGATCCTCTTCCAAGCGAGAGATCTGATGTAGACAGCCAAGTGCCACAAAATATTTCAGAGCATGCTTTGCAAGGTCAAACTTATCCTCCATTTTCTTTTAGTACGCCTACCACCAATTTAGGAATCTCCGAACAGAAATTGTTTTGGCAACAACCT